GAAGATTGAGACCTTTTAAACCCCGACAATCTACGACCAAAACCAAAGTTAAGAAATAGTAGTAAACTTTTTTTTCCTAGAACTTTAATATATATCTTTAAAAAAAATTTTATGACATATATATATATACACAATTGAACTTTTTATATGCATAGTATAACGGTGTTCGAGTGACCACCCTGGAGTTAATGTAGCTACACCCTTGACGTCAAATCTGTATGTTCACACACTAGCTCTAGTCTTTATTAGAATACATCTAACGTCTCTAGCTTTATTTAGTAATTTTAATTCAAATTTTATTGATAAAACTCGATAACATAACTAAACGATTAGTTCAGTCTGAAATTTTTTTAAATTCTGACTTCGCCTCTCGTAGCGGTTTCCTTTTCATCTAACTTTAAATATTTGTTTTTGCGGGAATGACTACGAAGTGTGCATGTGGTGATGTTATTCGATTAATCTAATATTGAAAATTGAGTTCAATTCCAAAAGAATTTTAACTTATTCGATTATTGTGACATAATGTAAACAATACGTGTAAGAGGGTTCGAGTTTTGTCCAAAAGTTGGGTGATAAGATGGTAAGTATATAAAACAGACTAAAATATTTTATTAGTAGTATAAAATAATAATCTATATTTATTTAACGATATTAAATAATATTCGTATTTAATTATACTAGAATACTATATACTTTGGCACGATATAATAAGGAATAATATCAATTAATATATGTATTAGCAATATGGATGGCAATATTATTTATATTTCATTTCCTTCTAATTCTATATTTTTATTTTTTTGTAATTTCATGTGATTTTCTCATATATCTATTTTATTTGTTGTATATGTATTTACTTATTTATTTATTAGCATAATTTTGTTAGTATTTTAACTTTAAAGGTTAAGTAAAATTCAGTGTTGAATAAGATTATAGATTTATGTTTTTATTTTTTGTTAAATCATTTATGTACACGTCATGTTAAAATTTGATATAAGAGTACTATTAACTTTTTTATTTTGAATTAAAAATTTATGTTATACTTTTAATTTTATTTATTATAATAGTAATGACTTGATATATTTACACAACTAGATTAAGAAAAAAAGACAATTTCATTAATAAAATGCTGAAGTACAAGATATACCTTGTCAAATCTGGTTGGTAGTTGTTAGCTTTACAGATATGAGATTAGCAAATAATTAATTTTCCCTAATAACTCCTCCAAGTCTTTTAATTAACATTTAACTCAAAAAAAAACAAATTAGAGCACTAAGCAGGTGGGGTGATGAAGACAAGATACAATTCATGATGATGAAAAGATATTTAAGTACGTAAGCTTCTCCAAAGAAAGAATGTGTTTATTGGTATGAAAAAAAGATATTTTTTAATAATTATATTTTTTAATAATTATATGTTTAATTGATTTAAAGATTTTTCTTATGAAAATAATTTTTCTATTAATACTAAGAAAATATTTTTCAAAATTCTAAAAAATTGCCCCTCAACTACACAACCGTTAACCTCTACCTTTGCCCACCCCAACCCTTCATTGAGGCCCACCTATTTTCTACCCTCCAAGCCTATAGCCTCGACCTGACCCTAAATCAAAACTCGACCCAGTGGGATCCCAACTGGAAATGTGATCCCAACTCAAAATTCAACCCTCGATTCGAGACCCGATTCTTTCTTGACTAGGGACTTAATCTCAACCTCAATTTAAGATTCGACTTTCAACCCCAATGCATATAGGAACCCTAGCCCTGACTTTAGTCAATCACTTCGGAAGTGGGACATGGGTTGGAGTCAGGTTCATAATTAAAGTCGGCTTTCAAATTAAAGTGGTTGTCAGATATTGAATATTGAGTATCGATTCACGATTGAAAATTAAATCGGGGTAGTTGTTCGGTATTGAGTCAGGGTCAGGGGAAGATCATCTAATAGATTCTAGCTAACTAGATATAGAAGAGCTACTTATAGTCATATGGTCACTTAAAATAAAAAATAAATACAAACATTTCCTCACCTGTTGGTGCAAATATTTCTAAGAGATCGCATCAAAATTGTAATGTTTATAGGGCTCGTGGCTTAGAAATCGAAGCAGTTGACCATATGTTTTTCAGTTACTCAAAAGTTCAACTAGTATGGAAGCTGGCTCCCGTTAAGAGGCCTAATTTAGAAAATGTTACGAATCTTACAATATGGTGGAATGACTTAATTTTGTAATACATCTCAATATCAGAATCTATTGAGCTACTAAGATTGAGTGTCTGTCTATCTTTTATGAAAAACGTAGAAAGCGTTGATTTACATAAATATGAGGATGTTGTGCAAATTCGAGAATGATCCTATACCCCAACAAGATTTATGATGTAATTATTACTTTGACCCGAGATGGAGTTGTTGTTTTCACAGATGCAGGTCAACAGAGGGAGAAGGAAAAAGCAAGCATTGGAATGACAATTACAGACAGTTGTGGTCATCAGCGCTAGCAATTCAAGAAGCCGTGGAAAGAGTACTACAAAAGGTTTGGTCAAAGGTTCACATAGTATCAAATGCAAAGAATGTCAAATAAATGTTGCAAAAGAATTTGATGACATCTTGGGAAATAGAGACCCTTTGTGAGGACATCTGGCGATTGATGAAGTCTTTTGAAGAAATCAAGATTACATATATTCCCCAAACGTGGAATGTGTTAGCTCATAATCTAGTTAAAATTTCTATTTCTTGTATAAATAGGATTTCTTGACATTCTGGCTTCTCAAGTTATGTTGTAATTGATACAATGATATCTTATGAACATCTGAAACATAGTTCAAAGTAATGTGACAAAGTGTCATTGTATAGTTGAGGCGATTAATAAAGTGTTTTCATTCACACACACAAAAAAAAGACTACTTGTTTGTAATGGATCATTTCTTGAACAAATTGGGTAAAAGAACTTACTTCATATAGCACGTTTGTTTCAAAAGTATTTTGAATAAATACGATTGGACAATGTTGGCGGAAAATAATAAAACAACATATATAAAAATGGATACATTTGATTTCATAGCTTTAAGTCTAGATCTATCTCATCATTTGTACCATCATCGCCATCAATCAATTGTGGTCCACCAAATGGAATTTGAATAGGAACATCTTGAGATCCTGTGGGCTCACAAGGAATTTCATTTAGGTCAATACCTGTTGAACCTGCATTTACGCTTTCACCATCACTGATACCTCTGATTGGATACGGCCCTTGGTGTGGTGGTGATGAAGGCAGAGGTGACCCTTGTTGTGGTGGTGATGAAGGCAGAGGTGGAGGCGGTGTTGTTTGGGGCGTAACCATCTCTACTCTGGTGAATCTTTCCAATCGCTCTGGTGGTAAAACAACATTTGTTGTTATACCTAATACGCTAAAACCTTCAGCTAGATATTTCACTTGTTCACGCATAGGATGAGATTGGAAATGAATCATGAATTCATCATTAGTGTGACCGATTTCGTCACATATAGGGCATTGAAGAAGAGTAGGGTGAGAACTCAATGCCCTTAAGAACATAACATGTAAAGAATTGATGTTAGACATGCTTATAGTTGTAGTGAAAAAGAAAACCCTAACTTTGATTTATCAGAAAGTGGTGATAAAACTGAGAAATGTACTTCAATAGTGTAGAGTGTGTGCATTATTTATAGGCTAATGTGATTCTTGTTTCCAAAATATAAATAGAGACCCTACCTACACATGCATTAATAGTTAATTGACCAAATTAAACAATGACATTAATCTTATATGACAAGTACACAATCTAAAATACATTGAAATATTTTAGATTTTCTAGGTAGCAAACTATTTTATTTTATAACTAATGTACCATACTTGAGAAAGAGAATTTATCATTTAGAATTAGAAAATCAGTTTAAAAATTTCCTTTTTTTTAAGAGGAAAACAATTTGTTTACTAAATATTTGACTTAAATCAAGGAAACAGATTTTAATACATTACATTTTTTTTTATTGGAAAGACAAAAATGCCATTTGTTTTATTGACCATGAATTTTAAATATTATAAAACTCAAGGTTAATTGTTTATTAGATATCTTTAATAAATGAGTATGTCTATTAAGGCCAAACTTACGTCAAACAAATTAAAAGCATAGCTTCTTTACGAATTGAAATCATAATTTATAAATTATTATTAGGTGAAAATATAAACTTATATTATGTGAAAGGGTTATTAACCTCAAAAATTAAGAATTAAAAATCATCACATAATAGCAACAAATATTCAAATAACCCTACGAGTGAAACTGAAGTCCAGCTTCAATATATGATTTTTTAAATTACAAGTCAAACATTATATTAATTTTATACTTGAATAACTTATCTCTAAATAACAATTAAATATGATATTACTTATATAAAACTTAATACATGTTTATTTATCT